TAATAATAATAATAATAATAATAATAATAATATTATTATTATTATTATTATTATTATTATAGAACGAAAATGACACAAACACCCTTAATCATTATCTTTGCAAAATAAAAAAGAAGGGAAAACGGACATTGCATCATTTGGTGCAAAAACTGGTGTAATGAACAGTGTTGTACCAAATATGGTGCAATGGTTGGAGGGAGGTTTGCACCAAATTTTGGTGCAATAGGGCACCCATTGGAAATTGCCTTAGAATAACACTAATGGTTTTTCTTTTTCTTATATATATATATAATATTAAATATTTGCATCTTGTTGGTTTATTGGATAACTTGTTGTATTCAATATGCTGGTAATTGATGTATTTTATCTCTTAATTTGTTGATACATTTTGAAATTCAAAAAATTGTTTCCTAATTTAGCTTGTGAAAAGATAAGGATATGCCAAAGATTTTATTATATCAATGACAACAATGCACTTGTTCTTGCAAGAACTTAAACTAGTTCATCAGCCTCCTCGTAGTTTGCATTGAGATGATTTATACAAAGTTGAATTTTATTGCTAATAGAGTAGCACAAATTTTGATATCAATCGATTCAATGATTGTTATATAGAGCATGTTCTTTTTATTTTTTAATTTCTGTCACTTTCTTTTCTTTTCTTTTTTTTAAATTTTTATTACTTCCAACTTATACCTGGTCGTGTTTCCAAAGTAATGTTTAATGCTTAGTTTACAAGTGAAGCATACTTAGAAAGAGACAAAATGTAGAAGGAAATCAACAATTTCCTGGATTTATTCTAGGATTTTGATTGATATTTTTCATTTTTTTTTTAATTTCTCTCACTTACAACTTATAGGGTGTTACATTCCAAAAATGAAGTTATATTCTATTCTTAGTTAATAAACATAATCACAAAATCAACCACCCATGGATCTATTTTAAGGTTTTGATTGACGTCTTACTTTTTTGAGTATATATCACTTTTTTTTTTTTTGAATTTCTATCACTTTATTGAATTGCTTCCATATTTAATGCCACATAAATAGAGATCATTTAATCTTTCTCAAGAACATGCCTCTATTTGGTGGAGATTAAAATCAGATTTTTAGCAGATTTTGATAAAAAATTGTTGAAATATGTGGTTGAAAAGTAGTGGGTCCTATAAAATGTGAAGTTAAAATTAGTTGTTGACTTTCACCTGAATTAAAATCTGAATTTTAATTTACACCAAACAGGGGCTGTATTTGTTGTTAGTTCATTTGAATATCATTTAATAGACTTATCCATCTTTTTCCATTTTAAAGAAGTGAGATTTAATATAGTGGAGTAAAGCTCGTTTTGTAACAAATTTTATTAAGAAAAGTAACATGTTTTGTGACCTTTTCATTAAAAAGTGCCATGTTATGCTAATTTTTAATTAAAAATCCACACACAATCAATTTCTAATAGAGCAATTGCTTATAAGAATTTGTTTTAGATGTAAATTTATTTTTTATTACATTAAATATGAAATTAAGTTTTCATGATAGAGAAAGTGAAATTTCTAATTAAAAAGTCTGACTTGACTTTACATAATATTTATTACTTTCAAAATACTTTTCATATTATCTTTTCTCACAAGATCACTAATTTTAGAATTATTTTTGTAAGTTGCCCTTAATTATTAGGGTGAATTTGACATTAAACTGTTTTAAGTTTCACCCTAGAGGTATAAAATTATGGATCGTCCAAATTCGAGGTAAGCTCAACTCCTATTTGATCTTAACCAAAATAGGGTTAAATTCATCAATGACCACCTAACTTCATAGTTAGTGTTATTATGATCACCTAATTTGATTTTATTTCATCAAAGCCACCCACTGTTATACACAGCATCATCATAGTTATCCAATTTGATTTTATTTCACCACGATCACCCCAATTTCATATAACATTTCAGNGCACACTTTCTTGTATCATGTTCGATGCTTTGAAGGGCCTTAACACATCTTGCTAGCCAGAATAATTTTAAAAAAACTACTCACAAGTGAAATGTGTTTCAGGGAATTATCGCCCTTTTTCTTTTGGGAGAGGCAGTGCTCTATACCGGTATTATCGTCATCACACTCCTCTGTTTTCACACCCATAAGATGAGATCCATGTTTGTCGGAATCATATGTGTTGTCTTCGGTATAATTATGTATGGATCTCCTCTGTCCATTGTTGTAAGTCCCTCGATAACTTGCAGTAATTTTCCAACAGAACCCACATTCTTATTTTCAATGACACGAATTATTATTCCAGAATTTTCTTATTAACAGAGAAAAGTATTCAAGACAAAGAGCGTTGAGTTCTTGCCATTTTGGCTCTGCCTGGCTGGCTTCGCAAATGGAGCCGTATGGTTCACCTATGCTTTTCTCAAGACCTTTGACCCCTATCTTTGTGTAAGTTTTCATAATGATGTTATAAGATTATCTCAAAATGCTCTTAATTTCTTCTAATATAATCTATAATTGAACTGATAAATTCAATTTTTTTTATGTAGACTGGAAATGGAATCGGAGGACTACTAGGATTATTCCAGCTTTGCGTATATGCATATTTCACTTATAAAGGGCCTCCTCCAAAGGCAGCAGATGACTCGAAGCCATCAGAAGTACAGCTCCAAAACACTGCGACAAACACGAACGCATCGTCGCCTCCTGTCTGAAATTTTCTTTTCTTCCTCCTTTAATCTTAGATTCTTAGATAGAGTTGTTACTTTTTCCACTGGAGTTTGTTTCGTAGATGAACATATTTTTTTTCATAAAATGTTTAGTTTTTCCTGTCATGGCATAAATTAATGGTATCTGATCTAATTTTTGTTATATATCATCACAACGTGATGCATTTGCACTCTAATTATGATTTTCAAATGGTAAACATCTAAGAACATTGATATCGATCCAAAGAAATAAAGCATCAACAAAACTAGGAGCTATTTTGCATGCTTGACTGCTTCAAATAATTCAATGCTATTATTGCATATCCATTACTCATGGAATAACTAGTTTTCCTTTCCATTTTATCTACTTCGATTTTTGATTGCATCGCAATTGTGAATCATTCTTCTACTTCTATGGATTTCTACCTTTCCATCTTCATAGAATTATAAGGTAATCGATCGATAATATAATTTATAGATAGTGCTATCTACCACCCCACAACTAAGTGCAGAATGTCTACGAGTGATAACGTTGCTGCTTCAATTCTTGTATAGTCCGAGCTTAACAACAAAAGCAACACTGTTGCTTAAAAGTGCAATTTCATTTTCATATTCTCAACCAAATTATTTGTCAATCAACTGACAATAACAAGACATGAATTTAATTGAAACATTAAAAGTCATGCCCTTTTAAATACTAATCCCTCCCATAAAGATAGATTCGCTTTCCTTTTTCATATGTCCCAAATTATAAGTCATTTTCCTTTTTGAAAGTATAGTTATTTTTTAATTTTCTAATATTCCCCTACTCTAATATTCCTTGTTATTATCTAATATGAACTGCTTCTATCTAACCTATTATTAATATAGGGTATATTAGGAAGGAAAAATGTAAGTAAAATTTATAGTTGCAACTATATTAATTACATTTTAAAAGTTTAAAACGTGTTTCAACAAATTACTGCTTCTTTAAGTGGAGGGTCCATGTGACTATTGGTGATTGGTTGTTTTGTCAGTCATTTTTTAGGGAAAAGTCAACTATTTGAATTCTAGGAATGCAATAAAAATTGGTGCGGGATAAGATAAGCTCATATTCGTCCAGAGCGGATAGTAAGTAAGTTAATGATTTGAGCACAGAAATCGACTCGTCAAAGGCTAGACCTCAGGCAACACCGTAGCCAAGTTCAATCTGGATCCTAGGGAAAGTATTTTAGACTATCAAATCTCGATATTTCTAAGGGGTTGATGTAAAAAGAAGGAAGTTTGCCTATAAATTGACCAAAATAGGCAAACTAAGGAATCAACTTGCGGAACATGTGAGGAGATTAGCGTACAACTTTTGCTACATAGATTTCTACTGAACAAATAATGTACCACTAAAAAGAAAATTGAATTTAGAGATCAATGCCAAAAAAAAAAAAATAAAAAAAAATAA